CACCCCTGCTCCTCTACATTATCTACGAGTATATTATCATTTCAGTTTACAATATTCTCTAGTAATATTTGCTGATAAACAAACAACAAAGACTGATGATGATTTATTTATTTAATACATGGAAAACTTACAGCCTACACTACGATGATGATATTTGCTATACACAACATATAATTATTTATATCAAATTGACATTGTCAAACAGTTGTTAATAATTTTATAACAAATCAAATACAATTTATAAATCTAATTTTTGTGTTTTCTTTAACAATCTTCCTCTTGAACCGTGCATTTTTTGTGTTCTCAATTTCTGTAACTACTTTTTCATTATTCACGTTAATTTATGACATTAAAATTGGACTTACATATTCATTATGGTCATGAATGCTTTCGCCTGACCACAAAGTGTTATCTTCTACATTTACAAATAAAGGTGACGCTAGTGCGTTTTCAACTTTGGAACTATTAGACTCAACTGACTAGAAAGAATCTGAATCAAAGCAGTTATTTCTATATTCATAATTAGTGAAAATAAATAAACAACTATCATCTGTGTTATGTGGCAAATCTTTTAATTTATATTTAAAAGTAAAGGTGTCAAGATCAATATTCTGTAAAGAGACCGGGGACTCGTTATTCAATTGGTCTTGAATTAGAGTAATCTTTACTAGGATTGGCAGGTACCTCATCAATATGTGTCGCTATTTCAGATGGAGTATTTAATAGAGACGGTTGATGATTGAGGGATGGAACAGGATCCAGCGAAGACAGAGAGAGTCAAGAGAAGTAGGAGGATTCAGTGGAGTTGGAGGATACAGTAAAGTGAAATCTATATTTGATTTTTTGGGAGGACTAGTGTCCAAATCGCCTAAGTCAATTAAATCATCAATATTATCCGAAGGGAAGATTTCATCTTGAAGAAGGTTGTCATAGATAAACTAGAGGTAGAAGGTTGAGGATCTTCTTGAATAATTGGATTGACTGGATAACGCGACAGAGTATCAGAATTGGTATTTATTTTACCCTTTTTATAAACGACTTCGTAGTCAATTCTTCAAGTTTTAATCTCCATCTTACCAATTTAGAAGCGGGCTCTTTACAATTGAACAGCCATTTTAAGGGCCGATGATCGGTAACTATGGTAAATTTTTGGCCATATAAATATGGTCTGAAAGTTTTTGTTCCAAATATGATAGTGTTATAAATTTCGATACGAATGACTTTTTAAAAAATATGACAGTCGAGCGGTAATATGAGCAATACTGGTGAATTATTATAAAACGAATACACTAAGGCAACTACGTAAAAGATATCGAACGTTTCGTGGCGACGACTAGAAATGTACTGAGCTACTGAGCTACTGAGCTCCTGAAGCAACTGAGGTACTGACGGCTAGAGAGCTTGTTAGCGACTGAGAGCGCCTCACTCCTTGCAAAGACTTTTATAAAACTACCCCCACTACTACTTCCGTTTTTATTATTTTGTAACAATAGCTAAACATTCCTTTTCAGTGATGCTGTAGTTACATTTAGCTTTGTTTAGAGTTCTTGATGCATTAGCAATAGGACGGTCATTTCCTATAGGACCTTGTGAGAGAGTCGCAGAAATAGCATAATTAGATGCATCACATGTTAGAAGAAATGGTTTGGTAAAATCGGGGTATGCTAAAATTGGTGCTGATATTAGTGCGTTTTTGAGATGTTCGAAGGCAAGCTGTTGGTCGTTATTCCAGTTAAAAGGAACATCTTGTCGGTCGGTGATAATAATGACCACGGTTATAATTATTATTTATGTACGTACCTTTCGTTTTAATGTTGGCACTGTTATAGTTCCATCCGCGATGTGAATAACTTCCTCTTTGCGTTCGGCCGCCTCTACCTCTATGAGAAAACCTGTTGTAGGGGACTTGCTTACCTTTTTGTTTGTGCATTGAATATGTTTTTAGAAGACGAGGGCTGTCCAAGTTCCTTATCCTCAGCAGCACGCAGTGCATCCTTCAGCTCAGAGTAGTCTTAAGCAAATATAATTGTACTTAGCCGCCTGTTGCGTAAACCGTCTGCAAACCTTTTAATTGCAAGCTTTTCATTTATAGGTCTCAATATCTCACACGACTTTGGATTTCCGTCGCTTTGTTTTTTTTTTATAACACAAGGTGGCAAACAAGCAATCGGCCACCTATAACCGCCAAAATGGCGAAGCGACCGCTGCCCATAGACATCTGCAATTGTAGATGCGTTGCCTACCCTTATACGACGGAGGAGGAGAC